CCTTGCTGTGCGCAAGGCACTGGATCTCTGTCCGCTTCAGCTGTAAGCACGTCCAGAGCATTTTCAATGTTGAAGCTCCTTGCAGCGACAAAACTACCAGTGGTGTCTCATAATCACGCCGGTAGAGCCCTCCTTGGTCTCCGTGTTTGAAAGCAACACCAGCATTGAACATACGCATTCCTTCAGAGCATCTCCAACAGGATAGCCGTTTAGGCCACTTTGTCCCAAAAACGTTGCTCCAACAAACTATGTAAAAACACAACCATGATGGGAAAAAAAGTCGTTTCGGGCACCCTTTACATCATCTGTTGGTGCAACAACCACCGCGGTGATGTAAAATCTTATATCTCCTACCCTATATGGCTATATCAGTTTTTACATCACCATTTTATTCATCACCTGTTGGAGATGCTATGAGGATCAGGCAAATCCGCCGATGACAAGGTCGATCCGGGGATTTCTTTCGGCTCCTCCCATCGTTTACTTCAACACTAACGCTTCAATAGACATAGCAGCTCTAGGGACAGTTTGAGCATGTTCTCCCTGTGTCAGTTGACGCTGCTCCCACCAAATAAACCATGCCGCTTGCATTGCCATTTGATCCCTAGGACGCCCAACTTATTTATCATCTGTGTAGAGTATCTCATTATGGTCGCCCTTACCAGACAAGGAAGCGGCAACCTAGAATTAAACAGCCTCAGCGAGTCCCACCTCAAGTGTCTGTCCTCCCATTTCAGCTCCCCACACAATCCTGTAAATCTCCATGACTCGCTGCTACCATCCACCATGTCAATGTTTTTTCTCGACAAAGAGGATACCCCCGCCCTCTGCATGAGGACGATCGTCCGATTGCTTTAAGAGTAGTAAAATTGATTAGTCTTAGGCCTTTGATTACGTACTGTAGGGCGGTGTCCATTCATGCATGCCTTTTTAAACTTTTGCGAGAGTTTCATACACCATCCACCCCACCTCCCATGCTAGTTTAATTTCATCTTTTAATTTTAATCTATTGTATTTTGAACCAAAAGTCATAAATTATGTTTCGTTTGCATATATCTCCATTCACGACGAGAACTTTCGAACAAGACTAATCTTGAATACATTTCGACAACTTTTCCATTTTTCTTAAAAAAAAATCCAAGTTTCAAATATTGAAACTCGATAGTCGTACCATTAAGTTTTGCCAAGTTTCATCAAGTTTTACCAAGTTTCATATGTTTTTAGGGTTTTAGTGTTCTGAGCTTACGGCTTTAGGTTTAAGGTTTACATTTTAGGGTTTAAGTTTTAGTTTTGAAACCTGCTAAATTTATCATCATCCCTATCAAATTTTAGTAGTTGAAACTTGCCCGACTGTTCGATTTGCCTCACAATCCGCAAAGTCCTTGGATTCCGCATAATGGCACATCAAGTTTAAATTTTAGTTTCTACAACTTGCGATTTTTTTCGTTCGCTTGCACCAAGTTTTAGCACTTGAAACTTAACAGAATTTTAAAAACTCGTCAAAATGTATTTAAAATGAATCTTATTTAAAAGCCCTCGTCTCAAGAAATACAAATATGAAAACCAAATATAACATTGACGTTTGGTTCAAAAGATATAATTGATTCAAATTCGAAAGTCAAAATAAAAACAGCATAATGAGATGTGAGATGGGTGGAGCTGCCAAAAGTTGCTCACATGGACCCCATATAAGATAATTAGGTACTAAAGCACATGCAAAGACCAAACCAATTTCTGAATTGCTAAGCATTTGAACGGCCAGAAATCTTGGTGCCGCCACACCAACGTGCCACAAATCGTCTTCCTGCAGTTCACGTGAGTCTCAGACTAATATTTTCATACTCCTCAAGTCAGAAAAAATTTGTCCCTCATTGTTCCAAGTTTGTCCCTCAGATAGATGTATCTAACACTTTCATCCATTTTCAGATAAATTTTTTCCGGACGGAGAGAGTAGATCCCAGCCGCACTCCTCTAGAGCTCGCCAATATCATATTTTCATCGTGAACGATGACATCCTCACACTCCATCCTTTGCTTCTTCTTTGCTCGCTGTTTCTGAGGCGTAGACACATGGGCATCAGGTAACTTGGGTTAGCTACTATCCTCAAGGCGATAAGGCCAATTCCAACACGACAACACGACGACTCAAACAGAAGCGAATTATATTTGGATTGGCTAGATGGACAACAAAAATGTTCGTTTTTGCCTGCCGGTCCATAGGTCAGCCCAACCCGGAAGGACACATTTTGCGGACATACATATTTAAAAAAAATAGCCAACATAAGTCCAGTTTACATTAATTAAAACTTAAAATGTTAAATAGAAACATTAAAAAAAGTAGGCGGCAGAGGGTGAGGATCTAGGCATCGGTGTTGGCGTCCTCCTCCTCCTCAGTCAGGCTGACATACACTGACACCTCCATCCATGAGAAAGTCGTCTGGAAGGCTGTCAACGCTGCCAACCGCTAGACCGGCTGCTACGCTGCCTGCCGCTCGGCCTCCATCTTGCACTCGGCCGCCAACGCGCGCATCTCAGCCTTGTAAATTGCCGCTCCTCCTTCTCGGTCGCACCAAGCCAAACGGGTGTGTGCACGACACGTAGATGGGCACGGTGCTCGTCGATGAAATGAAGCGGGACTCCTCCGCCGAAGGCTCCAGCGTGGGCGGTGCTGGTGCCGGTGGCGGTGGGGGCGTGTTGGCCTCCATGACGGCCATAGATTTGGCCAGTGCCCGCGCATGGCCAGGCCACCTAGCCATCTTCTTGCGCTCCGACTCCCCAAATGGCTGCTGCACCTCCTTGCCCTCCTCCTTCACCGGCAACGGTGGACCACGGGTTGCACCCTTGAATCTTGATCGGCGGCGCAGGTTGTGCTCGGTGGCAAACCACGCGTCCCAGTTCGGTGATTCCGTTGTGTAGTTTGGGTGGCGGCGGAGCTCAGGTGGGAGGTCAGCACGGCGGCAGTGGATCTCTGCCGTCCGCGTGCAGTCTAATTGCGGCACCACGAAAGCGAAACCTTGTCGGGATTGAGGTGCCAGCCATACAACAAGTTGACGTTCGGCCATGACACCTACACGTGATGCTCCAAAAAATAATGGCAACGATGGAAGGGGATGTACATGCGCTGGTGTGTCGCCCGCGACGCCATGGTGAAGTTGGCCGGCGCCCCTGTGAGGAACCGGCCTCGTGGTCATGCGTGCCGCAGTGCTTGCTGAAGAACCCCATGTTGGCGGCGGCTAGAGCTAGGTTGTCGGGCAAATGGGTGATGTGCAGGCCGGAGACAGACACCGAGAGGAAGCACGGCACGCCCGTCTCGTGTCTGTGTGAACGTAAACCGAATCCAAATTTACGGTAGAAATGCGTCCAAATAAACCCATGACAAACAAATTTTATGTTTACGTTCGTACGACGTTGGGCCGTGGTTTTTTGTCTCAACGAACCAAAACGGACGAAATGGATGAGCTGACTTAAACCTTTTGTGCAACATGTTCCGGATCCCTTTTTTTTTACCCTTTTGGGGGACGCCTCCGGTGTTTGGTGAGAGCAACTGTTCCATGAGCTCCCACCAGCCCCTCGCGAGAACCTCTAGATGCACTGCTAGTGTCAGATCGATGTCATCGGTCATCTCTTCCTCCGTATCAAAGTCACGCTCACCAAACCACCGATCATTTTCAGTCCACATTTTTGTTCGACGGGCGAAACCGAAAAGGAAAGGTTCGACTATTCGAGCCCGACCGACCGTGTGGTAAACGATGATGATTAATTAGTCCTTGTTTACATTCATGAAGTTTGTTGACCTGCTCACTAGGGAAACGCTCATGGCACGCCGGTTTACTTGCTCATTTTACACGGCTCCTCTTACTTATGAGCTATGATGAAAATGAAAGAGGGTAAGTAGACGTGCTGCCACCTGCCAAATAAAGCTTGTCCAAAGAAAAAGAGGAGAGAAAAATGTACGTTCGTACGTAGTACTATACACACTTGAATGAATTACACAAGGACCTAATGAATGGAGTTTAACCGACGACTAACTAAAAGGTGTTTCTGTACAAAGTTTTCCCTGAATTGACCGCCGAAAAGAGGTTTTGTTTCGCCCTAAATTCACCGCCGAAAAGAGGGTTAACGGCGACGACAGAGACGTGTTCCTAAACTTTGCCGTGCTTTTCACCGCGTCAAAGTTCAAACACGGCGGCCGCCGAGTGGAAGTGGGCACGCCCCGCTGTCGCACTGCTGCTGTTCCGCGGCTGCTGTGCCGTCGCTGGCGACCTTCGCGCCGCCCTTGCCGGCGGCCTCGGCTTCGCCACGCCGCGACGACCCCCACGCCGAGAACGAGAGTCCCAAGAACGACGACATGGTGATGGCGGGCCACCGGCCGGACTGCCCGAGCCGGACGCTCCTGCTGCCCCGGCGCGTGCTCCCGCCGGCGCGGCCCTCCCGAAACGCTTGGAGGCTCTTCGTGCGCCGCAGCTTGCCCGCCGCGACGACCTCTCGGAGGACGTGCTCGGGCAGCCTCAGCGTGTACCGCTCCGCGCTCTCGGCCGGCGCTGCCGCGAGCGAGTGCCCCGTGGTGTGCGAGCGCGGGAACTGCGCGGCGGGACTCCGGCCGGACTTGCTGCGCAGCGCGCGCTTCACGCTGCCGATACGCACCAGCTCGGCCGCCTCCTCCCTCCTGACCCTCTCCTCCTCCGTCTCCTCGGCAGCATCGGTGATCACCACCGTCACTTGCTCCGGCGGCGCCGTGGGCGTTTCCTCCGCCGGCTGCGGCGCCAACGTAGCAGCTACGTCGTCCCGCTCCGGCGTCGCCGACGCAGCAGCAGCGCCGGATGCCACGGGGGCGTCGGCGCCGGGGACGAGATTCGCGCGGCAGACCGGGCAGGTGACGTGCGACGCGAGCCAGGCGTCGATGCAGTCGGCGTGGAACGCGTGCGAGCACTTGGGGAGGAGGCGGAGCGTGTCGTCGTCGTCGAACTCGCTGAGGCACACGGCGCACTCCAGCTCGCCCTTGCCGACCTTGTGCGCCTTGACGTCGGCGTAGGCCATGGTGGGGAGCGCCTCGAGCGCGGCGGCGTCCAGCCCTCTCATCCTCCTCGACCGCGCGGCGCCCGAGGTGAGGAACGCGATCCCGCCCACGCCCGGCCTGGCGCCGAGGTCCTCGCCGGGCCCGCCGAGCGGCCCGCCCGCGCATCGCCGGATGTAGATGGAGAAGAACCCGAGGAAGAAGAAGGCTGTGACGAGCACGACGATTATGACCGCCATGGACGGGTTGAAGTTCTGCGGGTCGAAGTAGCTCGGCCCCTTGCCGCTCTGCTGCGCGGCCGCGATATCGGCCGCCGCAGCGACGAGTATGGTGACGAGGAGAAAGGAGCTGCCGCCATTGCGGCGGCCGCGCGTCGGGTTCATGGATGGTGGTGGGTTTCTTCTCTTCTCTCTTTGGGTGCGGGACTGGGACTGGGAGTATTAACGGAGGCGGCCGGCGAGGGATGGTAGAGTGCGGAGTGTGTTCATAACTTCATATTCATATGTGGGCGGGGCCGTGGGAAGAAGATAAAAAGTCCGCGCGTGCCAAGATACGGTGAGGAGATGAGCAGGTGATCCAGCAGCCGCAAGGCCCGGCAAAGAGTCGTTAAATCCACCGCAAAACGGTCGCCGTACGAGAGGGAGAAGAAGATCGCTGTCGTGGATGATGTAGATGATACGGAAGAAATGGTTGGTGAGGTGCTGCTGTCGATTAATGAGTTCCATATTTTATTTTACTTTATTTTGAAAAGGCACACACTCCTCTCTAAAGATGACAGTTTTACCCATAGATACCCGACCTGAATGAATATGATTTGAATATAAATTTATACCTATGAGTAGAGTCCGAACCCAACTGGACTAATAATGAATATGACATGGATATAATTCTATAAGTGAACCCGACCAGTGAATATACTCGTCCATTTTTCTTTAATACTACTATATCTCTACTAATAAAAATACAAAGGAACTTCCCCGATCCCCACCAAGTAACTCCATCGCCCCTTCCCATTCTCATGTCCTCGGTAAACGACTCATCTTTAAGGACCATCTCGTCTCATCTCCTCGGCTTACACCTCCCGTAGATTGCCGCCTGCAACAGCCAGCTCCACTGGCTAGTGGTTGACTGGTTGCCCAACTCCATAGATCCCCTCGGCCCCTCCATCTCAGTTTCTCCAAGCACACATCATACCACCGGTTCACACGCGCCATTCACACCAGCCCTTTGCAAACCAGTTTCCTGGAGCTTTTCTCCGTACGCATCTCTTCCCATATCTTTGTCCTTATTGACTTAGGGACCCTCGCTTTTCGGGGCACCTTCGACCCCCCCCCAGAACTTGCGGCGTGGGAGGCGCTACTCGAGTGTGTGTGGCTTTGCACACCCCGAGCTTAGAGCCAGATGTGGTCTCGTGGCGTCTTGAGAGTAGTGGTAGGTTTTCCACGAATCTCTTTACCATGCCATCGCTCCCTCTCCTGGCCTGAAGCCTCTCTCCCAGATTTGGTCGATTAGAATCCCACTCAAGATTAACATCTTCCTCTAGCAATGGATTTGCGGTCGAGTCCCTTCAGGGGTGGAGGTACTCAAAACACAGCGGCCCTAGTGATGGTATTTGCCCATTGTGCGACACAGAAGAAGACTCTAATCATATATTCTTCTTGTGTGCCTTGGCACAATTCCTCTGGAGTTGCTTTCCGGGAAGTGATGGGTGGTGGGTGGTGCCACTCCAACTTCCCAGACCTCTTCTAGGAGTTGAATGCCACGGCCATCAGGAGGGGCGGAGACAAGGGCGAGCAGGGGCTAGACTCCCCCCTCCTAATGATTCGCCCCTCAACAGATCACATCACCTCATACTGGGATTATACTGATGGCCGTAAATAATTCAGAATTAGGTAGTGTTTTAGGCCTGGTCCAATTTTTCTAGGGCACAAGAACAAAGGGGAAGATTTTGATGCTCTATTTTTGATGCGATCATATTGTTTTTTGCTCCCCTCAAGTCTAAATCCTGGCTCCGCCCCTGGCCTTCAGTTCCCGCCACATTAGGTGGCTCGGGATTGGGGCTCTTGCGTGGACGCTTTGGCCGATTGGACACTCCGCCTTTGTGGCAACCTACTGACGCGATCTACAAACTTTGTGGTTTCTTGCAACTTTGGAAGCCTCTTAGCCGCCCTAAGACTGAGGCGCCATTGATGTTATCTCCGCGGGACTCAGGACCTTGGCGCTTCAGTTGTCGTCTCCCCTGCCACCACCACCTCTGGAGTCGGACTAGGCGTTGCCGTCCGGTCGTCTTATCACCTTTTATTTTTATTTTGGGCTTGTTGAGCTGGTGCCCTCAGTAGAACCTTTGTTGTGATGTGTTGTGTGTGTTTGTGTGTGGTCGATATGTGTGTGAGTGCGTTTGTATCCGGTATGAACTTTATGTGGCTTGTGGCGGTTTGCTTTATTATAAAACGGGACGAAAGCCTTTTTTCCGATGTACGGTCAAACTTTTGGTTGACAATAAAATGGTAAACCTGTAACTTTTTGACCGTAACATCACAAATGTTTTGTTAATATAAAAGATGCCAAGGTCCCTAGAAATTATTTTTGGTTGAACTGAATCGGTTACGGAAGAACATGAATAGAAAACATAACCCTTATTTGGTCTTCGTCGTCGTCATCATCCTCCCAATCTAAGTCATCATCTTCAACACTGTCCTGCTCCTTACCTAAACCAAACTCCGCATGGCCCCAGGGTGCCCCCGATGGCCCCGCGACGGGAGTATGCAGCGCCCCTCCTTCCACCATCTCAACGACCCGGGCGGGGGGGCACCCACCATCTCTTCTGTAGCCGGACCTCGCAGCCGCGACGGCGAGGACGCCATTGAGCAGAGGGATGTGAATATGCAGATGTTTAAGGGGATGGCTTGACGATTGTATTGATTAGTAGAGTTTTACACTACTCTAGTGATCTAAACGCTCTTACATTTCTATTAAATAGAGAGAGGGGGCACAACCGAGATGGTTGAGATATGCTAAGATTACAATAGTAACAAGCTAGGTAAACAAATCTCCTGATTGTGCTCAGTCGGTGCATGATCTTCGTGATCTGGTGCCTTAGAGCATTTACAACTAAATCTCTTAAACCCGCCTCATACGTTCGGGCGGGCCGTCCGGTCACAATTTTTTGACCCAGACGAGCCTCTCAAACGGTCCTCAAACATTCGGGCTGACCGACATCCCATATCCAGCCTAAATATGGGGTGGATATGGGGACGCGCGGGCACGCCTGCCACGTCGGACCCGACCCACGCTTGCCCACTCGACCCCACATAAAATCCTCCTGATCCGCTCGCCGGATCAAACCCTAGCCACTCCACTTCCCTCCGCCACCCAAGCTCGTCTCCGAATCCTTTCGGTCGTCTCCGGCATGGCGGGCAGCAGATCTAAGTCCTTCACCTCCAGATCCGCCGACCCCGAGCTCATCCCATACGGCGCTCCACCGTGCCCGGGAGGAGGCCTGTGGACGGCTGCGCTCGGACTCCATCCGCCAGGAATCCATTGCATCCGCCCAAATGGCGCATGGATCCGGTACTAGGCCGGTCGTAGCTGCCTCGTCAGAGGCTGGGCAGTCCGTATGGCGTCCGAACACGTTGGCGGACGCGCAACCCCTCCGGTGACGCGCCGATATTGGGGAAGCACCATCGTCCCATGAGGCCATGGCACGGCGTGCACGCTGTGCAAGGCACCGGACACGGGAGGCGGCGGAGGATGTCGGCGAGGCGGAATCGCATTCTCCGGCGCCCCGTATGGCGCATCAGTTCGGGCGCCGCAACCGCATCGTGGTAGACATCGGCGGATCGTCCCCGGACGGATCCATCAACGATCTGACGTCTACCGGCACCGTTCAGATTCCGGTCTCCGATGAGGAAGAGTAGGGCATGGGAGACGGCGGGGCCTTGAGTCCCATGAGCCAGCTCGTGTCCCATGCTCTACCCTAGCTTGCTGGTGACCGGAACAACACTTGGAGGAGCGCAGCCGGCCGTCGGACATGGCCAAGGCGGAGCCGGGCGAGCGGGGAGCGGAACCGGACAAGCTATGCTTAAATTAGGTTTCATGTTGCATGTAATAATATAGATTTGAGGTTCTAATTTGATATATCCGGACGTGAAGTGCGTTTTTTGAGGGGTGACCAGTCACTGTCCGCTAACGGAGGCGGCCGTTTTTTCATGGATGGTGGTGGGTTTGTTCTCTTCTCGTTTTGGGTGTGGGGCTGGGAGTATTAACGGGGGCGGCCGGCAAGGGATGGTAGAAGGCGGAGTGTGTTCGTATTCATATGTGGGCGGCGCCGTGGGAAGAAGATAAAAGCTCTGCGCGTGCCAAGATACAGTGAGGAGCTGAGCAGATGATCCAAAAGCCGCAAGGCCCGACAAAGAGTCGTTAAATCCACCGCAAAACGGTCGCCGTACGAGAGGGAGAAGAAGATCGCTGTCATGGATGATGTACTGTAGATGATACAGAAGAAATGGTTGGTGAGGTGTTGTCGAGTAATGAGTTACATAACCTAAACGTAAACAAGGTCCATTCTCCTTTTTTTCCCGGAAAACTAGGAGCTCTCTTAGGAGGCGATTAGGATTTCGCGTGGAACTTACGGAGCAGCCGATTGTTTGCTTCGGTGGGCCGCATTGTATCGGGCTCGGATGGCTATGACGTCGAGTTCTTCAAGGGACAAGGGTGCTCTCTCGCCCCGAGCAGCAAGGGCATGTATGGAGGAAGCCATGGGCACGTTAGATCTCACCGAAGAGGAAGCAACACCACTGATTCTGGATGACGATGATAACAGTTCGAGGCAGATTTGGGCGATCACAGGCAAGGTTTTGCACCGGAATTTACTTCACACTCAGACGGTCGCCAATGCTTTGCGCCCGGCTTGGGGTAACCCTAGAGGATTGGTGTTCCGCCCGGTGGGTGAGAACATATTTGTTGCAGAGTTTGAGTCCCAACGTGATCACGATCGCGTGTGCGAAGGGCCGTCGTGGCATGTCAGCAAGCACGCTGTCATTCTCATGGAATTCAAAGAGAGCATGCGGCCGTCTGAGCTGCAGTTTGAGAAACTTCAGATCTGGGCTAGGGTTCCAAACCTGCCCTTCTATTGGGGAACACAATAATTTCAAAAAAATTCTACGCACACAGAAGATCTATCATGGTGATGCATAGCAGCGAGAGGGGAAGAGTGTTGTCCATGTACCCTCGTAGACCGTAAGCGGAAGCGTTATGACAATGCGGTTGATGTAGTCATACGTCTTCACGATCCGACCGATCCTAGTACCGAAAGTACGGCACCTCCGCGATCTGCACACGTTCGGCTCGGTGACGTCCCATGAACTCCTGATCCAGTAGAGTG